CTGATCTCCCGCTACCTGAAGTAGTCTCAGCTGCTACTTCTCCGCCATCTTGACTCCTCCTCATTTTGCAATTCTTCATCCTACCTTGCCTTTCCCTCACTAGATCGCTTCTCCTTTACACTGCTTTCAGATAGGTTTCCATTTTAATCGTCTTGTCCCATATTCTTTCAAGAACTTTAATCTCTGCTTTAAACTCTTATTTTATGCATATGACTGATTAATTAATATTGCATTTAATTGAGGTATGTGGGGCTACAATTTTCACCTCCATTGTGACAATATTTTTCAAGAGAGTATTCTTTATCTGTCATTTGCTTTTTCTGTTCCTTTTCTCCCTTTCTCTCATGATGTGTTTGTATAACTGGGTAAATTACTTTCTTATTATTCATCTTTTAATACCTGATTTCTTCCTATATCAGCCCTTTCAGAAGAACTCATGGGGAGGGGCCAGATCATGTTCTAGGCTAGTGAAAATTCTCTGTTCAACCAGGATTGTATGAGAACAGGTACTTCAACATCTCTCACTCCCAGTCTACAGGGGTCGGCAGTGCAGAATCCTCACCACACAGTCTCTCTCCTCCACCCTGCCTTGCAGCACGCTGTTGTCCCCAAGACCCCTAAAGGTTCTGTCCTGGACTCACTCTCCCTGCTTCACCTTCAGCCTCCTAGTGTTCGGGGAATGAAACCTATGCCTCCGGCCCCTATATCCATCTTGTTACTGTAAACAAGGGCTCGTGGGTTATACCCTCCCAGGTATGCTTCCTACTTTGGAAAACTGCTGGCCTTGTCCCAGAGTTGCTGTCATGTTGTGCATCCCTGGAATCTTCCAGACCCTCTGAAACCTCACTGTATTAGGCAGCCCTTCTTCTCACACTTGTCTTTCAGGGTCATCCTCATTGCAAAGCTGGAATTTGCAGGGTTTTTAAAATTCTCATTCTTCTGATAACTTCAGTGTGATGTCCAAGAGGAGGAAGAAAAGGCACCATTGTTTTTTATTATTATTTTAAGAAACTGTGTCTTAAAAAAGTAAAAAAATTGAATAACCACACAGAAGCTGGAAGAAGTAGGAAACTAGGTCCCTGATGTAAAAGTCATGGGGTTGTGGGGCTTGATTCATTCAGTCATTCTAGAAGTACTTAGTCACTGCTTAGCACAACTGGAGACCAGGTGCAGAGGCACAGAGATGTATGGCATGTCACTCCTTTACTCAGGGAACTCATACCATACTGAGGAGACAAAAAGGAAAGATTGTTCTCAACACAAGGCACTGCCTATTGAAACCGAAAGAATGTTCTTGACAATATGTGCTGTAGTTAAAAGGAGACTATTGCTCACTTCTAATACTTCCTGTGAATAAGAAGCACATTCAAAATGGCTTTGATAATAATTTTTTGACTTTGGAGTCCTTGTAAAGTAATAAAGTAACCAAAATAATCTTTTTTTAATGACTTAGATTTGATTCTGTTTATTGAAAATATCAGAACTTCCACGAAAGCCTTCTTGCTGTGTGTGTGTGTGTGTAGGTCATGGTTAAAGTCAGTTCTCAATGTCTGGCTTCTGTTGCCAGTTACCGAGAATCTTCATCACAGACTCTCTGCGCAAATGGCCAAGGGCTCCTTGAGATGGGCTGCTTGGCCTTCTTCCACATAGGAGCAGGCCTTCAGGACCTTTGACAGTTTACACTTTCAGTCTGTCCCTTGGGTCTGGTGGCCATGACAACGGAATTGTTTGGCCCAGCTATTTTAGACTCTGGGCTCAGGACAGCCAAATGTAGATTTTCTCTTTAATTTGCCTTCATCTCTTTGCACTCAGTCCAAGCAACCTTTTACAGATGAGAGTAGAAGACGGTCTTTTAATGAAGGACAGATGGGGAAGAGGAGAGTACATCAGAGCCACACTTGTGTCTTCTGGTTGACTGAGGGTCTCAGATTGCTGCGTAGCTAAGAGACTGGGGACCTGGAATAGTTCTGAGAAACCACTGGCATGATGGCATGGGAAACAGGAAACCATACAGACAGAAAAAAGGGTTTCAGGAAACATACCACATTCTAAAGAAGGTCAGAATTGGAACTTTAAAGCAGTTAATTACTTTTACAATAAAAATCATCTTCACTTAAAATTGAGTCTCCTAAAACACAGATGGCAGTAAATACATACAAAGATGCTCTACATTGTCAGTGATGAGGCAGATGTAAATTAAAGTCACAATAATACCACTACCTCCCAGAATGACTTACACGATAAAAAAAAACTGACAACACCAAGTGCTGATGGAGCTGTAGAGCAGCCAGAACTCTCCCCACAGCTGGTGGAACACGAGATGGCCCGCCATTTTGGAAAATATCCTGACAGCTCCTCATACATTTAAACATGCACCGTATGAACCACTCCAAAGTTTTTGCCCAAGAGATATGAAAACATATATCCACTCCAAGACCCATACCTGAATGTTTCTGAGCAGCTAGATTAGAATCACTCCAGACTGGAAACAGTGAGTGCCAATAAACCGGCGAATGGCTAAGGAGATCGTGGTGCATCATTTACACATTGGAACACCACTCTGCACTCAGAGGGAACAGGGCATGGATGCCCACAAGCCCGTGGGTGGCCTCCGTCATGCTAAGTGAAAAGAGGAGGGCATAAAAGGCTACAAGGCCATGTTCCTTCATTTACATAATAACATTCTGGAAAAGGGAAAACCGAAGGGAGAGAGATGGTTGCCAGGTGCTGGAGATGGGAAGCGGGGGACCGACTGCAAAGGGACCTGAGGAAGCCTCTGGAGGCGATGGCAATGTCCCCGTAGTGACTGTGTGGCAGATTAATGAATACATATACAATCAAAACTCAGCAAACTACGTGTGACAGTGAATTTTGGTCTAAACCTGACTTTACACAGTACATCTCCTAGGCCTGGGGCACCTGCGTGACTCAGTCGGTTTAACGTCTGACTCTTGATTTCGGCTCAGGTCATGATCTCAGGGTTGTGGGATTGAGCTCCCCCTCCCCACCCACAGGGCTTCGAGCTCAGCAAGGAGTCGGCTTGAAATTCTTTCTCTCCCTCTGCCCCTCCCCACCTTCTCAAATAAATAAATAAATCTTTTTAAATTACGATGAATCTTCTAGGCCTTTTGCTACGTTTACAGAAAAGTATTGTGTCGTCCCAGGAAGAGCCCACCGTCGAGGTCCGAAAGATGCCCTGCCACTTTCTGGCTCTGTGCCTCTTGCAAGTGCTCTTTCCTTCTCTAAAACTCAACTTCCTCATCTGTAAAATGGGCATAATGGTGACGCTAAGGGCGAAGTGACAGATGTCTAGAAGTGTTTTGTGTGCCATCGTACGGTCAGAGCTCTGAGTACTTTATGTCTACAGGTGTCTGCATGGCTGTGGACTTAGGCAGGAGCTGGAGCTGAGGGCTGGGCTGAAAGTCAGTCTCCTACCCCCTGACCAGGGCTCTCTCTATGCAGATGCTTGGTCTTCAGGGCTTGCCCGCTGCACACTCCATTCCAAGTTCCCATTTCATGTTCTCTCCTGTAATTAGCCGTTGACCCTCTCTCTAACGCCCACCCCCCAACTCAATGTCCAAACGGATTAACCTCTGGGGGAGCCTTGAGCAACTGTCTTGGAAGTGCTGGTCCTCGCTGAGCCTGGCTAGTGCCCAGCTAGGTCAGTGGCGACCCCACCACACTCCCCTACTCCCCACTTTGTGCACCCACCTGATGAACGTGGGGTACAGCTCGGCGTTCACCAGGCACACCAGCTGGAACACGATGGTGATTCCCATGCGGCCAAAACAAGCCACTGTGATGTTCAGCCAGTGTAGATCTGGACAGGAAACACACAGAGGTGGGGAACTCACATGGGGACTGAGCCCATGAGTGCCCTGCCTTGACGAGCCCCGTTAGGAAGCTTGGACTTCAGAGCTGGAAGAGCCAGAAGGAGTGCCTTGTCTAACCCTTTCATTTTGGGATAAGTAAACTGAGTCCTGCGAGGTTTCAGAACCTGATGGTGAAACAGGAGGGAGACTCCTTTGCACAGAGGAAAGAACATGTGTTTTGGATCTCAGCTCTGCCTCCTGTCAGCCACGTGACTTACCTCTTTGGGCCTTGGTTTCTTCAGCTGTAAAATGGGAATAGTGATAGCCAGCCTACAAGCTATTACGGGACTTTGAGATGACAAATGTGAAACGTCCACCATGACTGCTCCAGAAACATTGGCTTCTTAATTACCATGCAATAGTGTCTCTGCCAGAGCCTGACACAGGAGGTCCACAAGAAATACAGCCCCTCGGCCAGCAGCCCTAGAGCTGAGGGACCGGATTTCTAACCCTCAATCTGGCCTTCACTTCCAAACACATTGTCTTAAAGGAAACACCTTTTAGGATAGTCTCAGACTCAAGCACCAGGGAAGCAAACCCTTGCTGCGTCTTAGCAGACGGCTGTGGGGCTCCCCATTCCACGAGGGTTCCGGAAGCCCTCCCCCTACTGAGGACCGATCGAGGAATTGGGCCCCATCACTGGCTCCACCTCGGTTACTCCACACACTAACAAGCAAGTGGCTTCCAGGACATGCCAGGGGACTCATTAAAGCCTCTGGGGTCACAGACATCATGTCTTCTTGACCCCTGTCCCCAGATACTGGCCGTTCATGGAGGACATGCTCATTTCACTCCGCCAGCGTGAGAGTCCCCGGAGAGAGGACACGGTGGCCTTAGGAACGAGCTCCCCACCAGGTCCGACTCAGTCTCCCAGCCCCCTGCTGCTCACCACCTTGTGGTGGGAGCCAAGTCAGATCATGGATACCCCCAGCCTCCTGAAGAGAAAAGAAGAGGAAGTTCACTCAGACAGGATCTACAGGGAGGGCCTTGCATACACACTCTGGGGTCTTTAATCTGGTGAGTGACTCTGTTGTCCTGTTTCCCATTAGCTCTGGGGGCACCTCTCCCTTCACCAGCCAGAGGGACCGTGGGGAGCATCCCTGCCCAAAAGCCCCCAGTGCTTCCTTCCATATGGGGGACACTGTCCAAGGCTGCCTGCTGCTAACGCCCACCTCTGTCCCCCAGGTCGCGCCCTGCTCTCCCAATTTCAGGCACAGGGCTTCTGGCTGTTCCTTGAGTGCTTAGCTCTACCCTCCTCGGTGATCGTCCCGCTTCCATCCTCCTGCCCAGAAGCACATTCCCCAGATGGTGACTTGGCTTGTTCCCCTCATTCAGGTCTGCCAAGACTGTCCCTGACCACCGCACAAAGGATTAATGCCCACCCTGCTTCACCTGCACTTTTTCCCTCTAGAATGTGAACTCTGTGAAGCAAGAACTTTCTCTGCTTTGCTCATGGCTGTGATCCCAGGGTCGAGATGTGTGCTGGCCACACAGAAGGTACTTGCAATATTTCCTGGAGGAGGGCGTGAGTGTTTATCATCTCACATGACAAGGACTCGGTAGAGGCAAGTGGAGAGGGTGGGGTGGGGGGAGAGACCTTGGCAGGGGGGGATGGGACCAGAGAGCACGATGCCTGGGTTCTGTCCTGATGATAACTGACAATCTGAGATCTTGGGTTCCTTCTCTACCCGCACTGCTGTTACTTAAAAACAAACAAACAAACAAAAAACTTCCCATTTGTCTTTGCAGGATTCCAGAAATAGGAAGATGGGGATGATGGTGGATAAAATCTATTTCAGACGGACTCTGCTCCTTTCCCTGTCCTCACTGTTCTCTCCATGCGAGGGGGAAGGAGAAGACTGAGTTGTCTTTTTATTTTCAGCCTGATCCATACAGCCTGGTTCTTGAGAAAACAGTTTTCAGGAAACACATCCCACAACACCCTCTCTGTAAGAGCTTACCGAAACAGCTCATTTAACCCACAAGGGGAAAGCCCAAGCAATACAAACTGAGGAAATGGCAAATCTGCCTTGTGCTTCTTCAACCACCTCCCCAAACGTAACAAATAGGAAAGGCGGTTTGTGCACTCAAACCGAAACTGACCAAAGTCACTCTGCTGGGTGTAAGGACGATGGACGAAAGCACACGCCCACCAGAGAGGCTGGTGTCAAAAAAACTGGCAATACCCAGTGTTGGCAAGTTGGAACGCTCAGGCATCATCGGTGGGAGTGTGCGTTGGTCCAGCTGTTTTGGAAACCTGCCTGTATCCACTTCGAGCTGCATATATACCACACCTGACCCAGCAAACGCACTCACAGGTTTGTATCCGAGGGAAAGGAGAGTCTAGGCCCATGAAGAGACGTGTGCCCGAGTGTTCCCTGCAGCTTATACCCCAGGAGGCAGACGCTGGAAACCACACAGGTGTCAGTCAACGGTGGGACAGGTAAGTAGCTTGACATTTGTCATTTACTCACATGTGTACATTATACCAACTTAAAATTAAAACACACACACACACACACACACACACAGCTGTAGACTAGGGTAACACCCTGACTTAGTCTTTGTTCTCATTCGAGGGGCATATCCAGGAGCCAAAACGCTGTTCCATGGTTCGATAATACGATCCTCTAGAGAGTGAGGGAACACCCAGCTCACCGTGGGAGATAAAGATCATGACGGCGCAGGCTGTCCCCGCCACCAGATTGGACACCACCAACGGGCGGATGAGGCCGAAGCGGTCAATGGTGGTGAGGATGATGAAGGTCGCTGGGAATTCAACCAGAGCCGAGTACAGGAAGTCCAGGTGGAGGTTCCCGCCCGTGGCACCCACGTGCATGATGAGGCCCTGGTAGAGTACGGAGCTCGTGAACCTGAGCACAGAGGAGAAGCAGAGGCTCAGACGGAGGCTCCTGTCTGTGGGATGGGGGAGGGTTCGGAGTCTGGCCACCAGAGAGGAACAGGTGTCGCTCAATCTAGAACATCCTGGAGTGACATGAGAAGAGGGGATAAAAGTCAGGAAGGGTGTCCTAGAGGGGCCATCGGTGAGGGGCTCTCTCAGGATTGATGTGATGTCACGACTTCTGGGGTACAACCCCATGTCCTAGAGCCAGCAAACGAGGACCCTGAGGCCACAGCGGCTACGGGGGGATGGGCGGAGGGTAGCAGGAGTAAGCAGGTTCAGCGATCAGACGCTGTATGAGCTGTGTGATCTTGAGGAACTTAACTAAGCTCTGTCTGCCTCATCAGTAAATGCAACAAATGAATAAGGTCTTCTGAGAACACTCAGACACAGTCCCATCCTGTCCCAGCACCCAGATTCAGCCAGAGCATCCTTTCCCAGTGGGAAGCCCCTTGTTCTACCCTAACAAAAGCACAGCAGGCTTGTCCTGACCACAGATGTGTAAGACTTAGCGGCCAGCCTTCATTTAGAGAGGCTGTGTCCTACTCCAGTGGCCCCCACAGATCAGGTTTGCCCTCCGCAGAACAGTGACAAAAGGCGCATGGATGAGCTATTTCTCTCCACAACCCTCTCTTCACACTTTCCCTGTCCCACACTGAGTGCCTGGAGTGATTCCTGGCACATAGAAAGCACTCGCTAAAGATGAGCAATTACTGGAGTCATCATCATCATCGTCCCAAGGTCAAGTCCACAGAGCGCAGCAGAGCAGACGCCAGCCAAGTCTTTCCAGCGGCACAGTGGTGCTGTCATTAACAGCACGTCTCCCCCTCTCTCCTCCACCCTGCAGCCCGCCGCAGGACCCCTCCATGCGCATTCCAGAGAGGAATAGCAGGGGTACCGAATATGGCTCAGACACTGATAGGGACTGGCTAATTCACTCCAGAAGGTTTTAGAGAGTTCCATGGGTCATTTTTTGGTGACATTACGTAATTTTGGAGGATAGAAACATTTGATCATTATATTGGTATTTACAGTTTGAGAAGAGATTTTGGCTGATAAGAAGTTGTGCTCTTGTCCCAGCATGTAAATTGCCTCTTGGCTCTAAAACAGATCACAACTGATATTTCTCATCAATATACTCCCTTGTTTTATACAACTGCACACCAAGAAACATTGTGATGCTCTTGTTTCTAGTCCTGAATCATTCCTAACTTCCGAGGGTCTCACCATGCCCTCCCTTTGTCCCAGTTAAGTGGGAAGAGTCACCTGGTACCAATAAAGGGATTGCTTTAAGAGAAAGGAAGGTCTAAGCTTGGTTTTCCAGTCAAAAACCAGTTAACAAGGGGAGGAGTCAAGATGGCGGAGAAGTAGCAGCTGAGACTACTTCAGGTAGCGGGAGATCAG